CCAACCAATTTTAGACGTTTTGTCACTTCAGATTGTACAGATCCCTTAATGACGAGAAATTTAGACCTCCCAATTTCACTTGGAACTCCCAGATTCACAAGAAACAATTGGTTTAAGAATGAAGTTCTTAGTTTATGATTATTACTTTGTTATTTTCATTCACAGGAGAATTCCATATATGGATGTTGGTTAGGAGGAAATAGAGATCCGCATCATCAACCAGTGCCGCTAAATTCAAGAGGCTCCTCCTCTCATTGAGCGGGTTAGATAAAAATTGTGCAACCCCTTCTAGATCCTCCCTAGGTATCCCAAGACTCCGCCCGAAATCTACATACTAACGAAAAAACCATCAAAATGTCCAATCCAAGTTGGATCCACGCAAACAAGGTCTAAGAGCTCTGATATTACGAATCACTTTGTCTGGACGGGAAGTCATCACAGCATATATAGAGGAGGGCCCTTGCCAAGAGCCTATTCTCCAGGGATGCAGTCGCAGGGGAGAGGATCTGATCCATGGCTCGTTCTATGCCGAAGGTGGGGTAGCTTGCGGGCGGCGGTGGACGAGGCAAGCGCGGACCATGGAGACGACAGACGAGGCATCCTTGATCTCTCGAAAGCCTGTGGCCAACGCCGACGCTCGATGCTCGTGAAGCTTTGAGAAGCCTAGGGTTTCGCTAAGGCGAGAGGATCAATGTGATGGTGGCTTTTTGGCGGGAGGACACAAAATTGGGGGGCTTGTGCCATGGGGATATATTCGTGTCATGTTGCGTGTTGTTACATGCCACTGGGCCCATGTAGGCAATTAGACAACATATTTACTTTTCGCCTCCATTTATAATTTATTCGTTCTTTGTTACTAGTGTGGCCAAATTTTCCCAAACAAGTTGCCAAATGTAAGATCAAAATTGTCACGTCATGGGCAAGCAGGTGTGGTGTGGCACACACATATATATTCAATAAAAATTATCTATAAGGAATAAATAACAATGCACATGTGACACATAGATGAAAAACTAATTCATAATATTAGAAAGGATTTATTTGCGTGCCAACTACCAAGCATACGTGGATGACATTATCTTTGGTTCAACAAATCAATAATTTTGTTAGGAGTTCGAAAGGATGGTGGCTCAAGAGTTTGAGATGTCTACAATTGGAGAGAGTTGAGTTAATTCCTTAGTATTCAAATCAAGTAAATAAAAAATGGAACCTTTGTGAGTTAAGGACATGCTCAAAAAGTTTGGAATGAAGGATGCAAAACCAATTAGAAGTTTAGAATAACAATGGGCACAAAATGGTCATTTGGATATGGATGCTAGTGGTGAACCGATTGATTAAATTAAAAGTGTATCGGTCTATAATTGAAAGTCTACTCTATTTGATCGCTTCAAGATTAGATGTGATGTTTAGTGTATGCATGTGTGCAATATTTCATGCCTCGCCAAAAGTGAGTCACTTTACCACGGTGAAAAGGATATTGGGTATTTGAAGCATACACTAAGTGTTGGTTTGTGGTACCCCAACACATTTGAGTTAGTTGGGTACTTAAACTCAGATTATGCGGGATGCAACATGGATAGAAAGAGCACATCAGGCATGTGTCAATTACTTGGAAGATCACTTGTGGCATGGTCCTCAAAGAAACAAAACTCGATTGCACTATCAACGACCGAGGTAGAGTACATATCTGCGGGAAGTTGTTGTGCGCACAGTTGCTATGGATGAGAGCAACTTTGTTCGATTATGGAATCAAATTTGATGAAGTGACATTGCTATGTGATAATGAAAGTGTCATAAAGATTTCCACCAAACCAATACAACATTCAATAAAAAAGCACATTGATATCTACCATCACTTCATAAGAGATCAAGCAAAAGGGGATATCAAGATTGAGAGCGTGGGCACCAAAGATTGACTAGCCGACATTGGCCAAGCCACTTGATTAAGCAAGGTTTTGCAAGCTAAAAATGAATTGAACATTCTAGACTTGTCCAACATGAGTTGATTGCACTGATATATGACTAGCCTCTCCTCCGACCAAAGCAAAGGTAAAATTGGTTGTGCATATGCATTTCATACCTAACTAGATCTAGATAGTGCATTTAGACATAAATTATAACATTTATTGAAAATTAAAATTTTTTGAGTTCATGTTCTACCACTATAACTTGTATGTTTGATTGATAATGCATGACTCATTCATGGGAATGTGAACCCAAGTGTTTGAATTATGTTGATGAGATATACAGGTGATAAATTCAACCTCAACAAGATAAGTGCTCAAAGGTGTGTGGTCATTTGTGATATTTATATAATAAGTCAAAGCATCAGTTTAGAATAAATTCATGGTATGAGCAAGGATTGGAACCTGTATCATAAGGCTGAAAGTAATACTTTGTTTGATACTCCATTGGCAGTTCAAAGCCTGGAAAATTTAATCAAGCTATTCAACTAGACCATATTGTTCACTTAAGACACATTGCTCATAGGTCCATGGATCACTAATGATTATGGGTTTTAGATTCCACTAAACTCCCATATGTTTCGTCGACGATATCGCTGGGGAAGATGTGGAAGAAGCCAGTCTCTCTCTACTAAATATTTCTTTTATATATTCAGCTCGTTACAGGCCTGGATTGATTTTTCTTTTATCTGTCTTGGGCCTTCGTATCGCATGGTCAAAAGGACAGCCCACGGTCCAGTTCCCTCGAAGGAGCCGACGCTCACGCTCTGCGTAGTTTCCGGCTTTCCGATCAGGGATGTTCCCGTGTCCCAGTCTCCCAGGCTACAGCGCGTTATCGGGTTCGGGCCCAAGTCGCTCTGCACGCAGGCCCATATATGCAAGTGAATGAGCCACCCGTGAAACAAGTAGCCCACACTTGCATAAATAGTCAGTTGGGCCTCGAAAGTTGCAAATAAAAAGAGAAATTAAAATATGAAATTATATTTTCACAAAGAAAAACTGTTCTAAACAAAAAAAATATACTCAGATTCATGTGCTAAATATTCTATCCATATGCTTTAAAAAGTCATAAACAAATTATATATAGAGGAGGAGAACAAGATTATTTACATAAAATCAGAACAAATTATAAGTTTATTCTAGGTTTAGGATAAATATGTTTTAGGTCACGAGAAAATTGTTTCTGGGTCAAAGAAAAATGTTCTAGCTTCACACCAAATTCCTCCATCTTCATCAAAAATATGTTAACCGTTCATGGGCCACTGTCTAGTCATACTACCTCTATCTTGAAAATAATACAATTCTAACGTGCATGCTCTCTCTATCTCCCCCTTATAGTCAAATCAAATTATCTAAAGTGTGACAAGATTATAGAAAGAAGTATCAATACTTATGACACCAAATAGGTATACATTAAAATACATTGAATGAAGAATCCAATAATATTTATTTGGTATTATAAATATTCATACTTTTGATCAAACTTATTAATATACTTTTACTCGGTATTATAGTAGCTAGAATTGCATCCTTTTCTTGACGGGAGGAAGTGTATATATAATAGTAACACCGTTTGGAAGAAACTTATGCACGGTTTGGATCCACTAGCAGATAATATATAATTCATAGATAATGCATACTAGTATGCATGTAGAGCCGCTTTGCCGTGTGATTGCCCTGCTAGCTACGGCTTTGGTCATTCACGGTGCCTAAGGCGGGGCTGCTCACTGCCGTCGCCACCTATCTCCACTTCTATTTTTACCATGGAAACACCTTTATCAGTTTCTAGAGATATTCGTCTAAACAGTCGTTTAGTCTATCTCGACAATATTTAAATGGTAAACGAAGGTTATCCATGTCATTTAGACCCTAAATGATGACTTAAAGTATTAAATGGTTGGATCTTGATTCCTAGGACATACATTAGTGATGAAGCAAAGAACTTATCACTACTACAAAATTATTTTTTAGGAGACAGGCCATCTCATTAACGGAGGCGATCACAAAATGTAGGTGTCTCCTGAAATACTTGCGGATTTTTGGAGACGGTCGTTTTATTTACGGAGGTGGCACCGCCTCACGAATCGATACGGAGGCGGTCAAAATTTGCCCGTCTTAAAAAATATATTAACGTGCCGGCATGTATATACACACACTTGGGGTTTGGAGCTACAGTCTCATCTCTCGTTTCTCTCTCTACAACCGCCTCTCCCTCTCTCTCTCGTCTCTGCGTGGATTGAGCAGTGGTGGATCTAGGGGCCACTCCTCCAGTAGAGGATGTTGGGGGCTATTGTAACACCCCTGGTGTTACGAGTTTGCTTAGCATCGTGATTTAGGCCTAAGTAAAAATTTTCGAAACGGGTTTCTCGGATTTTTATTTAAAACGTACTCGGCATGACGAGCGAATTCTATGTGACGTAGTTTCGTGGACTCAAATCAACGCCCAAGATAAATTACTCAGCGCGTAAAAATATTTAGGAATGTCGAACGACGATTCTAGCTACCGGTTTATTCTGTTAGATTAAGTATGAAAAGCAACTTTTATAAATAAAATAAAATTCGTTAATAAATAGAACGATATACACATATATATAGATTTTGAATCAAATTTAAATTTGAGGTTTACTAAAATTTTTCCTACGCCTAGACGTTACCATTTGTGTAAATTAGTAAACCGTTATATATATATATATATATATATATCAGTTACGTGTAGCAAAGGGCCAGCACGAGCTCCTTTGATGATTGAAACGCTGTTGCCTGCTCTGCTCTACTCGTCACTGTCCACAGTCATAATGTCAGCCCCGTCGCTGCGCCTCTGCTGCTGTGTCTCTCCTCTCTGACTGTACAATTGACCGACGGCTCCTTCTTTCTTTTCTCTGTTCGGCCTGCCTTGCTGGTCTCGTCTGTTTCTGCGTGTGTGTGCTCCGCTGTCTTCTCTGTCTTCGCGTACCGCCGGGTTGACTCGTCCCATCTTTGCACTGCTCTGTGCTCTAGGGCTCTGCTCGCTGCCTCGCTTGATGACCGACCACCGCGCTATGGCTCGCCTGTCATCAAGTCCACGTCGCGCACGGCTCTGCGGCCTACTGGCCGTCCTGGCCACGCTGCTCCCTCGCCCCGTCCTTCACGAGGCGCTCGGGCGCTCCCTCTGCTCTCTGCCGCACCTACTCGCCCCTTTTTCTTCCTCCTCGCACGCGCCCCTTGGCCCCGGGTTGCTCCGCGCCGTTTCCTTCCGGGACGGCCGCAGCACCGATGTCCTCTCCGTGCGCCCGCGACCGCCGCTCTTGCTGCCGAGTCGACCACCGCACCTCTGTCGCGCCAACCAGCCGTTGCCCGAGCCATGCCGTCGTTCTCCTCCCTCTTCCGAACCCGCACGCGGCTCTGCCTGGTCTCCTTTTCTTCCTCGCGGGAGCGCGCGTAAGTTCTCTGTGCTGCCCTTCCTTTCCACTGCTGTGGCCGCGCAGCTCCGCCTCGCGGGAGCAACCGCCCCCACCTCCGAGCACGGGCTCCACGCTGCGCCTGGAGCGCCGTCCGCGCCTGAGCCACGTTGCCGCTCCGTTCTCTACTCGGGTGTGCGCCATCTCGGTTCTTGCGCGGTGACGACCACCACCGTTGATCTCCCGCGTCCAGCCGTTGCGGCTCGATTGGTTTGGCAGTGAGCACCTCCAGACCCTCCTCCACCTTCTCGAAGCCGCGCCTCTTCCTCTCCTTGCCGGTGTCGAGCCGCTCCCAAGCTCTAGTGGTCATCAATGGCGGCTCCCGTGGCCCTCAACGCCCCTCCCCTTTTTCCTCCCTCACTCATGCCATGAAGCGCAGAAATCGAATCCCCGCACCACCCTCTGTCTTCCCCAACCCGCGGCTCCCCCTCTCTCTACCTGAGCCGAGCTCCCCACGAGCTTCGGTAGCCGTCCATGGCGGACGAGCCAAGGGGCATGTGCGCCCGTGCCCCGCTGCTGCGCCGGGCCGCAGCACCTCGCCACCTCGGGGCCAACCGCGTCCCTCGGTCCCGCTGCTGCCGCAGCTGCGCGCCTCACCACCGCCGCGCCCCTGCCGCTTCCCTTCTCGCGTCCGCAGCAGCCGCGGTGCGTCGCGGTGGCTTGTCCGCCGCGTGTGCGGGCGAGCACGCGTGGGCCCACACGGCCATGCTGGACCGCCGCCTTGGCGCTGCCGCGCCAGCCACCGCACCACCGTCGGTGCGCCGTGGCTGCCCGCACTGCCCGGCGCATCGTCTCCGGCGGCGGCCGGTTCTTTTTCCCCTCCCTCTGTTCGGTGTCGAGGGGAGAAGGTGAATAAGGGGTCTCTTCGCTTTATAGGGCTGCCTGCCGATGGGCCGCTGCTGAGCGCTGGGCCGCGCGCTCGCTTTGGGCCTGCTCGCGCTGCTGGGCCGCTTGCGCCTGACGCGCCTAGGCCGCTGCCCCGCTGGGCTGGCCGGCTGCTCGCCCGCGCGCCTCGCTGGGCCGTTGGCCGCGCGCCCTGCCTGGGCCTGCTGCCACGCGTCCTGCTGGGCTGGTTGCGCGCTCGGTTGGGCTGCTGGCCGCGCACGCGCCTATGAGCCGCTCATTCGCCCGGGATGCTGGGCCGGTTTAGGGCCGGCGGCCCCTTTTTCGTTTTGAGGTAATTTCTAAATTAGCTTGTAAAGAAACTTGTAAAATTTGTAGAAAATCGTAGAAAAATCATAAAAATGTCAAACCAGTTTTGTTAGTCTCATAAAGTCATGATCTACCTGTTAGTATAGTTTGTTCACATAGTTGGATAATATTCGTGGAAGCTATATAATTAATTTACGGTACTTAATATTGTAAAATATGAACTCGTAGGAATTTTCATGCTAAATTGGTAATAGTATTGGATCTGAAACTGTTACAGTAGGTTTCTAGCAATATTAGGTACTCACTGTAATTGTTGTAGCTCCGGAATAATTAGTTTGCTAGATAGATAATGATGTCATATTGCGAATAAAGATTAAATTGATAGAAACAAAATAAAGAAGCAACTTGGGTTTATATAACTAAAATAATCGTTGGGAAATAACGTCTTATTCGACAACATGGATTTATAGCCTAAGTACGATCGTCGTTAAAACTAGCTCGTTAATTTGAGAGGCGTAAATCGTATTTTTTAAGTCACGGTTGCAGTCGATTAATTACGTCTTTGCATTGCATCGCATTGCATATCAAATAGGTACGATGATGGATCAACGGACCAATTGAAGGATGATTGGGGAATCCGAAGATGGTGTAATGGTATTCTTTTCAGGAGATGATGCAATGGGCTTTCTATCCAGATGATTGTGGATGATCTGAAGATGCCATACTAACTTTTAATATATCTTACCCAGGCAAGCCTCGGTGCATAACCCCTACTTTTCTGCAGTTTAAATTATATTTGTGCATTAAGTTTTCAGGATTTGAATCAAACACACTTACATATATATCTTTATCATATGAGTCTTACTAGTATGACAGGATCGTGTATAATGCTATGCTACAGGACTCCGGTAGAAGTCGAGTGATTGCCTGTCACTCGCGAGATATAGGAAATATGTCACTATATGATTATCACTTGAAAAATATAAATGGTGGAAAGGAAAATGGTGACCGGACAGGGATATGGTTGGGTATTGGTGGGTGTAAGAGGTTGTGTCGCCGTGGATGCGGGGCATAGCTTAGTTACACTACTTTCCCTGTCTGGTCGGTTAAGGACCGATCGTTGCATAAGGCATCAAGGCAAGTCACAGACTTATTATCCCGAGCATATACTTGTGTATGGGCGCTTGGAAGACTTATTGCTCTCTTGTCGCAGATCTGGCTCTTTCCGGACCGACTGTCAGGGTTTTATTTTGGTGGAGGAGGTCCTTGCACCGCACTGAGTCCGGAACTCAGGGGACGGGGGCTTGGAGTCCCAGTTTGGACGGGGACCTGGACACCCGGGACAGGAGAGTGATGGGTTGGTCCTACTTGTGCCTGGGGTACAAGCGGGGCGTGTGTTTTCGGGGTACCCAGCTGGGGGCATTGATTCGTGAATCGCCGGGAAATCCGGTACGGCTTGTCTCGTGTTTAGCATCGTAGTAAGAACTGAAAGATGAAAGATGAAAGATGGACAAAGGAAATCTGATTGCTTACCACCTGCTTGAAAGTAGCATAGATGCTTATATAGAATAGTTAGTTAATGAACTAATGCGGCTATTAATAAAAATCGAATATAAGGACACACGCTTAGTAATGCTTCCTGCAAATGTAACCCACAAACCAAATAGCCTTGCATATCCTTGGAGTCTTTTCTTTCCTCCTGTCGGGTAAGTCTTGTTGAGTACAATTGAGTACTCAGGGTTTTATTTCCCCTGTTACAGGTGACAGGTGGATGCTAGAGATGACCTTTGTGTGTGGATACCTCCTGGTGGGCTCAGCGAGGATTCCTTTACGCTGCGATCGTAGTTGTTATTTATAACTCTCACCAAATGCCTTTATAAATGAAAGTTTCATAATCTGTTGTCGTAGTTTATATTTCAATACTTCCTCATGTCATGTTTAGATATTTATTTCCGCTGTAACTCTATTCACCTGTTTATATTCCGCTGTTCAATTAAATTGTTATAACTCTGATAATATGATTTCATTCCGTTGTTATATTAATAAATATTAGACTCTCATGTTGTATTAAAAGTGATGTAAGAAATGGTTATGAATGATGTAAGCTTTATTCTCTCATTTGTGATCCTGATGGCAAAAAAGTGGATTTTCGGGTTCTCCCCTGGGGTGTGCCCGACGGAACCGAGTAATTTAGTGTTCTCCCTCGAGTGCTTAGTGTCTAATAGAAGACAAGCACTCCTGTGAGGCATTATATTAGGCGGTTCTGCCACAGCTGTGCGCTCGACGGTGGGTCCGCACACCTGAAGGCGGATCCTGGGGCCACGCCCCTGTGACGAATGTAGGTAGCCACGCCCTGACACCGGATCTATGGGGTCGTGTCCCCCGTGGTGGATCCGGGGGCCGTGCCCCTGGTGGCAGATACAGACGACGGTGCCTCGGCGATGGATTCACGCCTCGGTGCCAGAAGATCCAGCCCCCCTCGCGGCCGATGCATGAGACAACGCCTAGGATGCGGGTCTAGGGCGGCTGGCCGGGCCCACACGACGGTGGCTGGCACTACAAGAAATATGTCATCTTTTGACATTTGATATTCGTCATAATAACTGGAAAATAAGTCATAGGTTGTCATTTGTGACACCAAGTTGACGAAAAGTGGAATGGCAAAAGATGAGCGTATTTAATGACAAACTTATGACGTTTAGGTGTTAAAGTCGTAACATTATGACATTGATTTCGATTGTCACAAACATTTATGACTTCTGATTTAATGTCATAGGTTTCATGGACCTCACACATAAACAGATGCCACGTAGGATGACTCGTTGACGTGGCGCTGAGGTGGCAAAGTCTACAAACGTCATAAAATTAAATTCAGCCTGTTTAAACCCACATAGCAAGCAGGCTTCTAATGGGCCAAGCCCATTGGAGTCGATCATTTTTAGCCTGACCCGTTTCATGTTTAAAAGTTTTTTTTGGCCCATTTCTTAGTTGTATTGATTTTAGCCCACATAAATTTTATTGGGCTAGCACGCACACATTTTTTTGGACTGGTTTTCACATAAATTTTATTGGGCTAGCATGCACACGTTTTTTTGGACCAGTCCACACAGGTCGTTAAATCTTTTTTGGGCCAGGCCACATTTTTATGGGCTGTTTAGGCTGAGACCACACAAAGTTTTTTTTTTTTTTGATTGCGAGACCACACAAAGTTATTATTGAGCAAACATGACGGTACATTCAGTTGCAAATTCAAAACACCCGATTTCATTTCCAAATATATATTCCAGGCAATACAATTTCATCAAAATAAAAAATCCCATATCAGAAAAGTAGGACAGAGATCCGGTCTTCTGCTGGATGACTTGCATAGTGATTGGATGACTTGAGCGTAGTGATTGGATGACCTGAGCGCAGTGATCACATGCAGCAATAACCTGTAGTACCACAAGATTACTTGAATCAATAACTACTACTACTCTGCTAACAGATCAAAACAGTAGCTACAGGGCAGACTAGTACTACTGCTACACAATACAAAAATTCAATTTAATGAATCGACACAAATCTGCCATTTATTCTAGACAATCAGAAGGATTTATGAGGACATCAACTGGTCAAAGTCCTCAAAGTAACCCGTCATACCAATGCTAAAGATAAGCAGGTGGCCGACCTCATATCAACATATTCCTTCAGATACAATTAAGGGCTTAGATTAGAAAAGCAGGAGCTTGTTTCAGAATAACATAACGCTGAGATGATCAGAGTAGTAACTTAACATAAGGTTAGTTCAGTTCTCCAGTTTAGCTTCTAGTTAATTTCATACCCTGCCACATCATTTTCTTTACTTCAGAAATGTAGCAAGATAAATATAGAGATTCCAAAAATATAAATATAGGCACTATCCACTTTATGCAGCAGTAAAATGACAACTTGATAGCTTATGACAAGTTCAGGTAGTAGTAGAAACTTGCATCGCATCAGCAAATCAGAATCAATCAAGGAGTAAACAACCAAACAACACAATACACTACTAAAGAACCACACAATTATCAACAGTCCAGCAAGATAATAATTCTTTCAAAAAATTGGAAAGCAGGATGTGTTCTAAACTCTACTCTGTGTAGATGTGGTGTAACATATATGTGATCAAGAGTTCAA